AAGTGAGAGAACACCTGTTTGGAAAGCACCAGTAAAGGAAGGATTACCCATTGGTTACTTCTTAAGCCAAACCTTAAAACAAAAGCGGGTTTATCCCTCCAATATTTCTAAAGTCACTTTAAACACAATCTTAACTAAAAGCTTATGACAAACTATTGTTTTTCAAGAAAGGCCACTAAGGTCATTAAAAGAAAAAAAAAAGCATCCTTGAAAAGTCCTGTATGATCTCATTTCTACTTCAGCTGTTTCAAATTTATCTTCCGTTGTTACTGTGTCTCCATTTTTTTACTATTCACATGCTAAATGTACAACCTTCAGGGATACTGTCCCCCTAATCTCTCCTCACTGAAGGAGAACCCTTTTATCCGTTGTATTGAATCAACATCTGCATCTTATAAGCACATCTTAGCTCTCTTCAGCTTACTTTCTCTTTAGGGGAAATTGGTACAAATTTATCATCTAGTAGCTAATAATAAATGTAATGCTTTATAACTGCAACTTGGCCTTCTCCCACTGGCAGCTAGATCATCAGTAAAGTCATTCCACCTGGCCTCCTTTCTCTTTTTTCGCCCTATTGATAAAGAGGAAGTGATTTACTGGTTTTAATCAGACATATTCCTGCTTTGAAGCTCCATTCATCTCTTCCCATGAATGTCTGCCTCTTTGCAAAGCATCCTTTCCATCTGTTACTTATTGCTGTCAAAATAAACTCTTTTTTCTCAAAGATTTCACAATTCCTTGATTCAATATTTCATCAAGTTTGAGGTAAAATTCAGTGAGAATACTGATCCTCCCTTGTCCTGATAAACTTTACACTGCTTTCTCAAATTGGCTTTGAGTTCTTAAATCAGGCAGTTCTTCCTCTTTTTATTGATAGAATGGAAAACCAAATTATTAAACTCTCATGGTGTTAAGTTAGTCTATCAATCTCTGGTCACGCAATGGTTTTCATGCCCCCACAACAGTTCAGCTTCTTTTGCCCTTTCAGAATCCTTCCCGTAATTTGAGTCAGTCATGGAGGGTGACTGAATATTTCAACAAACGGATGTCACGAGTGACCCTCATATGAGCTCTGTATCAACAGAGCCCTGGGATGGCAATCTCCCTTCTGCTCTGCTGGCCGCTTCTGGAAAGTATTTTCAGCAGTTAGTGGTGCCCACTGGCAGCCCTTGTTTCCAAAGCTAGATAAATGAATGATGAATTTACTGTTTGTTTCTCCTCGAGTTAAATGTTTTTCAGTTAATGGAAAAACACTGACAAGGTCTTTAAATTGAAAGTGCTGACTTTATGTTCCCTGTAACTAAATGACAGATAAATGAGCTGAATATATTAAATTACGTTAAAAAAAATCCAACTCCATTTAAGATGAGACACTTACGCTACACAAACCATGTTTTAAACCCTAGTATTAATTTTTGATCCTAGATTATCATTTAACTATCATATTTTTACCACTTTGACCTTTGTCTGTTATTTCATCTAGCCTGAATCTGACCATTTCAGGAACTGCCTTCTGAATCCATGAATATTTTTCACTTCAGCTTTCATCCATTTCTACAAATCCGCGATCACCAAAGTATCAATAATAGTAACTGCAACTGCAGAAGGTTACACAAATTCTGAAGGGCATTGGCTTACTGGGTTATCTCCCTTGCCTTCCCTCCATCTGTGAAATTAATTCTTGAACAATCCAGAAAGGGTTCTGATGAATTATAAAAATCTCATCATGCATTTACACTTCTAGTAGTTATGCTCAGGAAATACTAGTCCTACACATTTAATTCCACATTCTTCTCACAATGTTCTTCTCAGAAAATATTTGGCCACCGTAGTTTGTATTTTTTCTCCCATGACCTGGTTAAATTACAGATTCACTGCCCTTTGTCTTCTTTGGTATGACTTGTTCCCATAAATATATACATACAATATATGTAAATATGTGTTTATTTTTTTCTGAAATTCCAGAGTAAATACGAAAAGCACTTTATCAGTCGTCTTCTTGTCTCTTATTCATTTTTGAAGAGTGTTTAGGACTGCAAAGTCTTACTAAACGATACATGCTTAGCTGAACTTGACAGAAAAATAGATGCACAGGAACATACTGTACAATAAGACATTTCATAGAACAAAACAGTTCATAGCACTGCAAGGCTGAACTTGTGATATGCAAGACAATAAGGAATTTTAAGATTTTTTTTCTTATTTGGGTTTCATCCTTCTCTCTTAATACATGCTTCAGATGTCTCTTTCAATAAAATGTTTTGGAGATTGACTGCATTTCAAAGGAAGTGATTGCCTTGAGCACAGACTTGCCAGACCTGTCTGGACCTGGAGAGCACTGGTCCCATCCTCTCCTGTGAATGTTGCTCAGAGGACCTGTGTAACCTGAACTTTCTGGATACATGCAGGCTGACTTGCACTCAGAAACAGTCAAAAACCTGGACTGTTTGAGTCACCACACAAACGTCTAGCAAAACTGTAACTACAAAACTAAACAAGCATGAGCTGTGTTAATCTGTCTTTCAGATCATAGTGGAACGGCAATAAATACACCTACAAAATCTTGTATTTTCTGCCCACCTGAATAATAAAAGTTCCTGTATTTACATGTGCAATTTATTCAATTTCTGAATACCTGCAGTGTGCATTTTTACCAGGGCTTGCACTGAATTATTCTGGAAAAAAAAATCCTAATCTAGAAAATATTACATTTATTTTGAATACAATTTAATTAAAAAATGAAGAAAAAAATTCTAAACATTAGAGGAAGAAGTTGAGGTCTGAACCCTGGAAAGTCTCCTTATCTTACAGAAAACCAACTCAATTGGATAAAAAATTGCTATCAGGACTGCTTTTATATACTTCTTTGAAAATTACAGATGAGAGAAAAATAAAAACAAAGCTACAATGTAGTATGCTTAAACATTCCTTTTTTCAGCCTTCTATCAGTTTCTGGTATTTATAGTTGAAGTAGGATTTATTTCATTATTAGTGCTCTAAAGAGATCTTCAGCAATGTGTGTGTTTGCTCATAAAAGCATATTTCTTTAGTTTTCATTGGCATTTTTGCTGCTTAGAGTTATTGGTAAATTATAAATAATGCAGATCTCTGAAAACATAAAATTATGCATTTTTTTCAGAATTCGGTTTGTTGAATGTTGCTTAAATTATTGAAAGGAAAAAAGTCTTAACTACAGCTCATAGATATACATAATTGGGAAATACGTAACTGTAACATTTTCAGTCGTTAGAATCCCGAGTTACCAATGCCAGTGGTGTAGGTATTTCAATAAAAATACACGGGAAGTTTAAATAAGCTCTCATAGGAGCAATAGCCTCCAGTTAAATGTTAAATCTTAATAAAACTGTTTAGCATAATTTGATAGGATGAAAATAGAACTGCTATTTGGCATTAAAATTTTTTTCTTTAATCTTTATTTTGCAAAGTATGTGCATGATATGCAGCCAAGTAAGTCATCTTGCAGGCAATTTATTATTCATACTTTAGCTCTATAATAATACAGTTCAACCTACTTTGTATTATGACTAATAAGATTCCTGAGAGTTCAGCTTAACATCTCATAGTATTTATAAGCATGCTTATTTCTTTGGTGCAAGGCTATTTGGGAGATGATTTGCAGACAGGGAAGCATATCCGTAACTTGTATACCAAACTCTTCCTTGGACTAAAGCACCCCTATTAAAATACATACCCAAAATGAAAATTCTTCATCTGACAAAAAAGGCATTGCAAATTTTGATAGTAATTTGTGAAAATACACGCCCTTAGCCCATGTCAAACTGATCGGTCTAGAACGTGTGTTCATCCTAAAGTACTTTAACATGTGTTCATGGTCCATGAACTTCAGTGGTTTCTAAAGATACGTGTAAGTACATTTCTCAATCAGTATGAATAGCAGTAAGGCTTTTCAGTGTTCCAGATAAAAACTTTAGTGAATAGTTCCGAAAGTTTAAATAATCATCAAAGAATATGTTTCATGTCAGAGTCTGTGCTCACTGTGTTCCTTAGTTTAACAGACCAGGATGCACCCTCTGCTAACTGCTAAACTTCTGCAGAGAGCAGTTTTCAGTTATAGTGCTACATGGTGGGGCGAGGAACCGCAGGTTGCTGCTTTGGAGACCGGGTACAGCACTCACTGTCATGCTCCCCAAGTGCACACCAGAGAAAGCTGTGCGTTTGGTACTGAGCTGACCAGAGAATTGCTGGAAGGTGTGGGAAAGAATTGAATCCCTCCTGGGGAGGGCTCCTTCCTTCTCACAGGGAAGGATTCAACAAAACAGACATAACAGATGTTACAAAGCCAAGGATTTGCTAGAGTTTTCTAACAAAGCAGGCAAACTAACGTAGCTAACAGGGAGTAAAGACTTTGGCGATTCAGCCAGAAATTGACCCTCAGATTTCTCATGTGTTTTAAAAGAAAATCAAGTAAAGTAACCTACTGCAGAAAGAGATTTTTCTTAGAATAGCCCTATTATTGGCCAATTTCAAAATTGTAACACTGGAACAAACCAAATGTACTATCACCAGTCAAACTGAATCAATGGAAATTACTTTGACCATCTCTGTCCCAAGGTAGATGTAAAAATGCACTTGCAGTTTCAGAAGCAGTAGTTGAAACTGTTACCATTAAGCCTTGCTGTAATGTTAGACTTAATTTTTACATCACTTGATTCTATTATATACCATTTATGTGATTCATTTATAATCTATTACCATCGTGCAGCAACTGAGAAATAATGCTATATGGTGTGTTTTATGCAGCTTCCTTTTCAATGAATTTGTGACAGTTTACTAAACTTCAGACTTTGATGAACTGGTGAAAGGCCTTTCAATCCAGCATAACCACACAATTAAGTCTGAATACTATCATGACTCAACGCTATTCTTTAATCTCACTGAGAGCTACAGTGCAGAGCTAAAGCTGTCGTTACTAATTCTGTAATAGACATCAAGGGAAGCATAAACAGAAGAAAGCTTACTTCAAAGACCAGCGTCTCATTAGTTGGTCCTGCTGCATATAGACTCTCTGGATGGTTAAAAGAGCGTTGATAATCAAAAACTGTTCCAGCAAAAGAGAACTTTCCCGGCCAGTCAATCGTCCAGTCTCCTGTCAGATAATACTTTTTACTGAGGTTGCGCACTGCAAGGTAGCTGGTGGAGATTTGCATTTCTTGGAGCTGTATACTGCGTGCTCCTGCTGGAATAGTGACCACAGCATAGTAGTCTGAAATGCAAGAAGTAAGCAACATGTTTGCAATTGTCATACAGATAAGGATGGCTTATAATTTTTGAGCCAATTTGAAAATTTTGCAGTTTAAAATATATTGAAGACAGCTGTTCTGATCCACCAAAGTTACTCTGTTTTCACAAGGAGAAACCAGTTCTGATTTTAACCCCTCTATGCAGCCTGTAATCAGAGTAACACAGAGGTATTTCAATTCCTTGAATTTTTCTTTGTGATTAAAGGCAAGAAAAATCAAGTTCACCTTAGAAAAATGCAGAACAGTCGAATGGTGGTTTCACTGTAATCGTTTTCCCTGTAGTTTCCTACAGTAGTTGGAAGGCACTACTTCCACCATGGGCAAGGTTTTTGAGGTGAGATGCACTGCGGTGCAGATCCCTGTATACCACTGGATCTCCTGCTGTCAGCATGTAGAAATCTCACTCATTCTACAGTCAGATGAGGCACCAACAATCTCCAACGTGCACTGCACTCAGCTAATTCCACAGAGCATTCAGTTCAGATGATTTTTCTAGCATTGTATCTCTGTATTACTGTATCCTAAACAATTCCCTGACCTAGATGGCTGTAGTATTGACATGTCTTATGATCAACAGTAAATGGATCCTCAAAATAGCCCTGTGGGTAAAGAAATACTATCTGCATCTTTATGCCTGAGAAACTGAGGCATAGTGAGATTATTTCACAATTAGCTTGTGACAGTCCACTAAAGAAAAGTCCACCTCCCAGTGACTGGATCATCCATTGAATCAGCTGGACAGCTTCCAGTCAACTTAATTTGAAAACGGACATGGAAATACTGTCATGTTTGGCATTATGCTGTGTATCGCTTTTTACATCTTCTACAGTCTCATTCCAGTCAGAGCTGTTGACAGCTATTTTTTCACTTGCCTGAATACTAAAATCTCTTTTAAGAGGAAATTCACACGTAAAGGGAAAATGTGGCTTAAGAAACAAGACGAATGCTTTCAAATTAACTAACCAAGACTTATGCTCATAGCTTTCTTGTTACCAAGAAACAGGAGAAATGTGAACTCTCCTCTCACTCTCCCTGTGATTTTCAGTTCACATCTGGACTTCTAGCCACTGCCCTAATGAGCAAGAAATCATACACATTACATGGGGATACAGCAGAGCAATAAGTTGATGATCATGTGGAACAGCTTTCCTTACCATTAGCTTTGTGCTGGATCAAGTATTGGCCTTTAAAGAACTTGCACGTTGAATTATCTCCTTTACAAATTCCACAAGCATCCAGTACAGCTTTGGAACCAAGTCCATGATCACACCCTACTTGCTGCAACCAAAAGGCACAAGTGAAGGACTCAGACACAAGGGAATTTGAAGAAACAGCTGCATTTTCCATAAAGGAGTCAATTGCCCACTTTAAAAAACCAGACATTAGGACTGTAAGAAACTTAATTTTATCTTACTTCACATATTCCATCAATGCAAACATCATATTTATTTGGAGAACACAGGGTTCCATCCTTCACTTTGCTGGACATGGCAAAGAAAAAGTCAAAGTCTTCAGCTGTGCAGTACAATTTACATCTATCTTCCTCTGGGGGGAAAAAAAAACACCACCAAGACAAGAAAGTATTAGCAGACCTACAGCACATTTTTTTTTTTTAAAAAAAGCACCCTGCTATTGTTTCTTCCTGCATCCTAGACGACAAGCTACAAGATTTTCCCCTAATAAAAGTGCTTTTCCTCTAAACAATCAAATTTCTTCTTATATGTTGATGGTACGTTATGCTTATAAAGGGCTGATTGTTTCTACAAAGACAAAAACAGTCATGCAATTGTAAATATTGTCTACAGTTGCTGAAATACACAATTTTAAATCAAATACTAAGTGCAACAAATAAAGCAGCATAACAAAATTTTGAAGAACATGAAACTGGATTCAAAATAGTATCATTTTATTCTTAAATAAGCAGCTGGATTTTCAATAGCACTTTCTACAGAGGCAAGGCATCTATTTCAATTTTGAAAAACACATTATGTTTTCAGGACTATAAATGTAGATCTTCAGGAAGATTTTGAAAAGCAGCTAAGAGAGCAAGGATAGGCATTTTCAATTTCAGAGTCACTTGGGGATGTCTTGCTTTTGAAAATTATTCCCTTTGTCCGTAATTTTAAGCTCCTATTTCTTTTATTAAACACAACCTCTATCTTTAAAACCAATGTAGACTACCTTAGTTTCTATTAAACGAGATGCATTATTCCCCCTATTATACAACACCCATTGTTACATGCTGTGAAACTATATTTCCTCTTTCCTCTGTTCACAACGTCTGTTAGGACACAGGTTGCTAAATACCCATGAAAATGTCTGCAAAGTCTTTTGAAGAAAATACAATCAGGCTATGAATGAAAGTTCAATGTATGTGTATCTGTGTGTACATATATATATATAATTATACATTCATTATCACCAAAAGCAAATTTGTACAGGTGCTAAACAAAGCAGCCACAATGTGACATAGTTTAGCCACTTTTATCCAAGCAGTAGCAATTGCAGCTACAAACTGTGCTTTCAAACTGCAGAAAATATTTGTTGTCTGATAAAAATGAATACTGATTCAAAACATTCACAAAATTAAGATGCATAAAGTAAAAAATGAACTTTGCTTGTACAAAAGATAAGAAATAGTTATTGAGACCTGAACTTCATACAGATCTCTTAGTAAAAGATGACTTCAAAACATCTATGCCAGTACATTGTTTGTTTTTCCAATTCTCATCGGACTATACCAGCAGAAAAGTCAAAAGGTTGATTTATTGTTACATTTCGAAATCTGAGAACATTCCAAAGGAAGGAAGGTTCCGGTAGTGTTATTGTGGGAGCTCACATTTCCCATGCTGAAAAATCCATGGAAATTGTTTTGGTTTTACACTAACAGATATGTAATATAAAATGAAAGAGAGGCTTAGCAACAGCCAGGGAGTCATGCTAAGGACAAAGATTTAAATTCACAACTCAAATCCATTCTGCATGTTCATACAGGCAGTATCGCACAGGACGCCGGACTCAACTATGCTAGAGAGCAAACACATCTCAAATAAGGCAACGGAATCTCCATTTGCTTACATCAGGGTGACATTTGCCCAAAGAATATGGATGAATTATGGCTTATAGCTCACTTCCCACGATTGCCTTTGTCCATCAGAGCTGTGGCATAATTACCTTCCACTTTAGTATAAGGCTTCCACTTGTAGTACCACCCCCGGAAAGGTTTGCTGTTGTATTCCGCACACTGCTGGGCACGGAAGTCCACGCTGTTTGCGGGACATGGCTGATTATTACAAAGTTGATAAATACGACTGGAACCTTGGCAGAATTTGCCGCCATACTGTGGCCTAAAAATAAAGCAACAAAAAAGTTCTTTTGCAAAACCTACTTTTTGTGTGATTGGCACGATACATGTGTATTAAAAGAGAAAATGAGAGGACGTTTTGTCTTAGATCAGTATTTCTTACATGGCCCGTGAATTTTCATGGTTGCTAAAATCAAGCAAAGCAGTTGCCATGAATTATCTACTTGGATCACTGCAAACTCAGCAAAGACGCAACCATTCAGAGGTGAGTCATGTTTTCACTAATTTAAATTTATAGGGCTATTTTGTATTGGCTGCTTTCAATCTTCTTATACAGCTATTTTAACTCTGCTATAACCCAGGAATGAACATATGAAAAGAATTACCTATCACAACAAGAGTTAATAAAGGATAACATAACACTGATCAAACATAAACAGAATGAATAATTACATTTGGTTTTTCATTTGTTTTGTAAATCATTTCGAAAAAAACTTGCTTTTAAATGGTCAAAGGAAACAAGGACCATGCGCAGCTGTCCTGCTTTAGGAAAATGTTGGAATTCACAGAGAACTTTAAACATGTCACATCCACTTCTGCAAACCTTACCTGGGCATTTCCCTTATTTTTGGCTGGAATAAGAAGAGCATATCCTATTACTTTGCTAGTATCTTATATTACCAGAATAATATTTTCTCACTATTTCATCTATGCACACAACTGTACAACAATGCACAATGTAAAACCAGCAATTTTTAAAGTGTCTGAGGGGTCTCACAAGCTGCTGAGAAATGTATTCACTCACTTCTGTGTTCCTTATGGATCTACACAGGAATTCACTAATGTTATTTTTGCAGTTTCACAACGCTCAGATATACATCTGCAAGCACTGAACCAAATCTTCAAAACACCAAATTCTAAGAATTGTTTGTCTTATTATCCAATTTCTTGTGTCAAGTGAAGGGAAATGTAACAATGATGCAATTGCGTACATTTATATAATAATTTTTAAAAATTAGGGAACATACATAGTTGGAAGACAAGCCATGATCTTTCAGTGGACAGCTTGCCCATGTTACACACACATTAAGGAAAAAAATTAGAATAATATAAGAGATATGGAATATTAATAATATATTAACTAACAATAATAATAATAACAGTATAAAAGATACAGTTGCAACAAGTATAACTTGTTTGTTTAAATTCCTAAACATCGTTATAACTATTCTCCCTATCAAGTATCCCATGCAACTTCTCTTGAAATGCATCTGACTGGAGTAATTTTGTAGACAGCTTGGTGCAACACGGATGAGAAAATCTCGGTGCTTTTTCTGTTTGCTTTATTATAAATTTTAACCCTCATATGTCTAAGCCTTTAACCAAGCTGGGGCTCAGTTTATATGTTTTCAACCAGCTTTGAATGTACACAATATCTGGCTTTTTCAGAATTCTGGGCTACAGAACAGTCTTACAAAGGAAGAGGTGGAAACCTACCTGGTAGTCTATTTAAAATTGGGTTAAAGCACCAGCAAAATGCGTTGTGGAATAAAGAACTTGCAGTGACTTTTCTTGAGGTCACCTACTAGCTACGTTGACACTGGGTATAATGGCAAAGGCCTTAAAATGAAGCCAAATTTTCTCCCCTAGTTGGTGGCAATTCAGTCTGTGAAGGGCAGGGAGGGTATGTAACACCAGCGAAGTCAGGGAGTATTTATGTTGACTTTGTGCAATTGGTGAGAGCTTTGAGTTAAGGCAGCCAAACTATTGGGTCCTTACTCAATTCTCTACAGACTTCCTTTACAGCTTCAGCACATGTATGATTTTTGACTGCCTTCAGTCCCAGGGAACAAATCTGCTTTAGTGTAAGGAAAAGAAGAAACCTCCTTCCAAGTAAATGCCACTAAACAAGTCATATAATAGAATTATTTATGGCTAGGTCATGATTTCTAGCCACAGTCTTGCATTTGAGGATGGTATAAAATTCCGCCAAACTAAGGGAGCACTGAAAGAGGCATTCTATTTCCCAGCTCTCTTACAGCATTTTAATATTACAGTACACTCCCATTACTGAAACTGTTGGCCAGAGAATTATGGAAACTTCCCCACCTCTGTTTTTACCAAGAAGAGTTAAGTAATTCACAGGGAACTAGATGTAGATCTACAAAACCAAATTTCTGAGAAAAGACTATTATCTACACTGATAAAATCATGCCTTTATTGATGACATCTATACCACCCGTAGATTTTGGTTTGCCTGCCTACAGAAGCTCTGTTAGAATAACTGTGCTTACAAGGGAACACTTTGCACAGAAGGCATTCCAATACTCCTACAGTGATACAGTGCTCTTAATACAAGCATAGCCTAAACTTTTCATCCGTGTACCTGCCCAGCGTTGGCATGTGTAGGTAAAGATACCTGCAGCAATAGATACTGTTAGATCCTTGCTGAGGATAACTGGAAAGGAGAAATTTGGTGAGAAAGGTCAGAAAAAAACAGTCTGCAAAGAATGATTTGCAAAAGGAGTATATCGGCGAAGATGTAAACACTTCATACAAGACTCAAATATCAAAATGCTACAAGAGTAGCTTAAATTAATTCTGCAGTAACCTTTTAAGAATAAACTTCATGAACAAGGAAAATAAAATAGATATTCACTGCAATGTAACACAGAGAATGAGAAATCCTGAAAATAATCTGATCAAGGAAAGTATTTTACGCATGACAAAGAGAATTAGACTCTGAAATTCTGGACTCCTATTTTTTTCATGTTTTGTAATTGTTTAAATTCACATGAGAACATTTCTGCTCATATTATGATCATATTATAATAGTATCACAAAGCTAGACTATTTTATTCTTCATAAATTTGAAAGGTCTACAAGGTCTTCCACAGTTTTCATTAATTAGTATTTTAGATGGCATCATTATATCTGCATTGCCAGCAATCACTGTTACAGATATTGTATACAAAAGATTAAAAAGATGTGTTGAAGCAATTTTTATTTAGATTTTTGATTGCATACATGCCTAAAACTCCATACTACTCTTACTGAACAATGCACTATAGTGAAGTGGGTGGGATGCAGTCCCACAGATATGATTTAGGTATTAATTTACATCTCTCGGGCACTTTTCAGATTCTTTCCCAGCTAAACTATTAATTTATATAATCTATTTCTACCTTGGAAAAGTACCTCAATTTTAAAATGTTGTTATGTATGAAAACCAGATCCATGAAACTACACTGTGACAATTTACAGAAACATAATGATTTTAGCAAATCTGCATAGTTCTATGTTCTACAGATGATCTCTTTAAGTGTTTGTTGGTATAAATTTGCACATAACTCAGATGGTCACAAGACCTATCTTAAAATTTTCAAGAAAAAGGGAGTTGAATTGGTTGGATATTATTTGCAAGAGGAGAATTTCACATCCAAACACAGGTAACGAGGTTTTTGTAAGCAGCAGCCTGAATTTGTGTTCTTCCCCTATCCTTAAGCTCCCAATAAGATGTGTCATGTTTAAAATTACAGGAAACCTAGAAATCTCCCTCAATGTTCCTAAGAAGTCAGTTGCTTTGAAAAATTGACTACTTATTTAAAAACCTCATTTTAGAGTCCAGTCAGTTCTTCAGCGATGCACATCCCTTGTCGTAATCTCTCACAGAAATACATTCTATTCTTTGTCATTCTCAAAATTTTTCTATCCAAAATCATCTCTCAAGCTTTTCAACAAAATAAACATTAGCTCCTACACAAACCTGGATTACAAAAAGTGAAATAAATATATTACATATGAAATAATATACATACATGTACTGAAATGTATAAACATCTGAAATGTATTTCAGAAGTTCAAAAAGAAAGGAATCATTATTCTTTGTTTATGTGTAGTTATAGAGGTGAACAATGAACAGTGACTAGGTTATAAATTGTTCCATGTGGTGCAACACTGAAAATGGATAATATAATTTTTCTGATTATTCCACATTTATACAAAAGTGCTGTGATGGGAAATACAGCTACCTGTATATTCATACACTTCTGTGCTTATTTATAGTCCTGTCATTTCATCAGTCTAACTCAGACAGAGTCTAACCTCTTTGCTCTAACTGAATTATCACTAATATAATAAAGTTAAATTTAGTATAAGCACGATCCAGTTCTGGTATCGAGTCTTACTTGGTTGCATCAAGTCTTGCATCAAGTCTTACTTTAATTAGGACAGACAGATCCCTCTGAATGCAAGTTTTAAATACATGATGCTACACTAACAGACACCGTTCACGTTAAAGAGCTGCTGTTTGAAGATCATTGGAAATCATTATCAGTTATAACAGTGCACTAAACGGAAACATTTCAACTACTGGACATTCTTCTGTCACACAGGGAGAGCAAGGAAGGCTTATGAATAAACGCAAGGAACACTGTCGTACATACGAATGTGGCAGGCAGAACAGGGACCAAAGTAGAAAGTCCAAAATACATTTGTGAGGTGAAATTGAGACTCTGAATTCTCTTGCTAAATAGTTTAATATCCAAGTAATTTTATTTATCAAAATACACTGAGAAACAACAGAAAAGCTTGAGAAAACGCTCTGTTACAGATGTGCAAAAATTGGCTGGACTGAGTGAGGGTAATAAAGACTATTTTAACTAACTCACATTTTCCTATAACATAGTATATGAAGCGTGGATATTATTACTGCAGCACTGTATAGTAGGTGTGAGGCTTCTTTATAGCCTCATATAAACTGTGTCATATTTTGTCTGTTTTTTATTACTGCAGTTGAAATGCACTTTTTATGGCGTGCAATGAAGAATACATGTGTCTATGCCTGCTGAAGTTGTGTATGAAATAAACCAGTGAAATCCTTTTTTCTCATAAGTTGAAGTGAATTGAGTACTTGGAAGGATGCTGGTCAGATAACACTTTACCTCTACTTGAAATAGTATTGCACGGAATAGTAGTAGTATTGACAGCGCTAAGACATTCACTAGAGGCAAATACCAGAAATGTTTCATGAGTTAGCATACAATTCTAGAATTCAGCAACTTTATTCTGACCTGTTAAACATAATGCAAAGAACATGACAGACATACAAAGACATCTGTCTACAACCATTTTGATATCGACTGTAAACATTTTTGGTTTATTATCCTGGATGATCTCATCAGAAGACTTAATAGCTTTTAAGACCTTTTTCCCTTGCTCTTAAATTATTAGATGCGAATACATCTGTGTGGCATTTTGTTACTTCTGCAGTTATTTGATAAACCGCAGTGTCAGAAAATAAATTGAGAAAGTTGGGCTATAGATGTTCTAGTACTTCAGCAGCCCCTACTTTCCAGTGGACATATTTCTGTCTTTCAGCTACTGACTAGTCATATTGGACATGACAGGAAGGTCTTAGAAACATTTTCACACTTACTATTTCCCTACGGAAATGGACTCTGGTTGCTTTTTTTCTAAAAACTTAAATAGTTAGTATAAAAATAATACCTTTTCTTATCTATGTCTTACTTTGGATTATTGCAGTGTCTTTCTTGATATGTGACCCCACCTCCACAAGTGCGAGTACACTCTGACCACTCAGACCAAGCAGACCATTGGCCATTTACAGGCTTGGGTCCATGATCACCGTATTTGACACACTGTCCTCTTCGACACCACTGCCAAAAGAATGCCAAAAAATATCCCATCAGAGTTAGCGGTACCTAGCAGATGCAGAAAAGGAAAAAATCCACATATACAAGCTCCAGTGCTTAACCCTAATAAACATGAGGTCACACATTGAACTCAATGAGATAGTTCACAGTACGACAAGGACTCTGGAGTAGGAGACTGACCCACATAATGGTAGAGATAAGTAATGTCCCAAAATTTGTCCAAGATCTGAGTTGAAGATCTCTGAGGTATAAATTTTCAAAATCGTTCTCTTGGAGAGCATCTTTTTGGTTTACTCTTCCCCAAAAAAGTCCATGTTAATTTATGGTCCTGTGCTGTCAGAACCCCAAAACTTCCATGTAATTTAAAAATAGCCTGCTAAAATTCTGCTAAAATTTCTCCCTTTTATCATTCAATTATGAAATACTGCACAAAGAGAAAAAACAAAATAGAATATTTGTCAGTAACTTGAAATTAAAAATGATATTTTACTGGAAGAAACATTATAGCAAAAGAAAACATTTGGGGTAACTATAGACAAGTGTAAAAGGTTCAATTAAAACAAATAACCATGCTCTTCTAGTGGTGATCACAGACGATAACGCACATGATGGCCTTAGTCTGTATAGCAAATATTATGGCTTAAGTAATGTTCATATCAGAGTGGAATTGGAAGCCTTTGTCTAACTTCTGTTATAATTAATGGATTTTCTTACTGATTTAGATTTGCCAGATATATATTATTTCATAGCTCAATGGGAGAGTCATCACTCCCTACCATCACTGTGAGGACCAGTCCTGACTATGTATCACAGTGCAATCTTTTACAGAGCAATCTGGAAGTTCAAGACAGCAAACGTGGAGAGATCTGGGTAAAACACGTTTTGACAGGAGCTTGTATTTGACCCAATACAGTCTAAAACAAGTTAGAATGACATTGTCCTATTTATAAAACAACTTACCATACTTGTACCACAAGCTGTTCCTTCTGCTGCTGGCATGAACTTTGTCTCACACCTATGACCCACTTTGTGACACCAGAGAGATTTGCATATATCCTGAAAATAAAAAAGTACTCACTATAGTACTCATAATTCCCATTATTTCCTGGTGTTTAGAAAGACTAACAAATGATACATGCCTTTGCTACCTTAAAAGCCATATAAATAAAACTTTTTCTGAATTTAGAAAATCCAGGTTTTAAGAATCATAGCACAGCCATATCCTGTATATTGCCTTGTTGTTTATGTATCATTTCACGTTTTTTAAAACTATTTTGAGTGTGAGACTATAATAGAACAAAAACTGTATTAAAAAGTTCAAGACCAAAATTTCATCAAGTCTACAGTGACTATAATATTGTGAAGAGATGAGCTTTTCTAAAACACAGGGGTTATCTGTTCACTCTCTTTGTTTATTAGCTGTAGAAGAAACACAGCTACCATCATGTGATAAATGTGGTTAGTATAATATAAATCAAAATACTGCAGGATAATAATAAGGGTAAAAGAAATGATAATACTTCTTTTCAGAATGAGCACTCCAGATTATTTAATAAAATGTTTTCTCAGAAGAGATCAGCAAGGAGTATAGCAGTCACTAAAGGAATGGGTTAATCTAAATTAATCCTTCATCACGAAGTCAAGGGTATGTTACATTTTTATTGTTCTAAAATAACTCTATAGATCTTTTCCAGACTTTGCTGTCAATGCATGAGTAAAACAAAACACAAGAAACTTTGTCCTTCTTACCCCACGCCCCACATTCCATGCAAATTTTAATCAAAACTCTACTGCCTGCTAATTTCCCTTAGCATAGTAGGCAAGGGCTCATGGGTCTTCTGCATTCAACTGCACTCGTTATGACTTCTGGAAAGAACAGATTTCCTTCTCAAACTCCCCTGGGATCGTGATATTCCTCAAAAGAGGCCAGTACCTTCAAAGCAAATTGCCAAGCAAGATAAGGTAGAGAAATAGCCCAGGCCTCTGAAGAACACTATGACTTGTACTTCTTGAGCGTACCGCAGTTCTCTCATGTAATTTCAACTTTTCAAAAGTGTATCAATAGGTACCTTTACAAAGCTGAGGTTGCACAGTTTTGCTTTCATTCCAAATTGCCATTTGCACTGCGTATCAGCATCGTAGATCTGCCCTGGCAGTTTGTCAGGGTATTTATACTGTCCTGTTTGCTTAGGTTCATCAATCAGGCAGGCAGCTTGAGCTGTACTATAATGAGAATGTATATTAATCATGACTATGATCTTTATATCAAAATATTTTAATTTGCTACAGACCAGCAAGAACACATACTATGGTATATAGTACCTTCAACGAGCTTTAGAGGTTTGCATTGAAATGAGAATATCTGCTTGCAGGAGCCAAAAGATCTTGACATCTTGTTGGTAGCCTGACCTGCAAAGTTTTAAGGAAGCAGGAATTTCCAGGCTTTGGAACTGTTGTTACAACAAGAATGAATGTCAAATTCTTTTCCTCCCTTTATTCCTGTGTAACCAAAAGCCAAGTCATCTAGTCGGCTTCTTTCCCTTAAATGGATTCCCAAAATCAGGAATCAACGGAATCAACAGGCACACTGTCTCATTTCAGCATTCGCTTTGCTGCAGCTTGTGTGCTTTGGGGTGGCTGTGTCCAGTTTAAGACTAAAGGTATCACCCTATGGTCTACTTTCTTTCCTTTGCATATGCTTAAGAACCCGTGTATACAGAAGGTCACTTTACGCTGGATTTATCTTCCAAGCATAAGTCTCTTGGATCATACTGCATGTTGGAGGGCTTATGTGACTTTCTAGTTTGCAATTTGCCTGTGTACTCAGAACACGGTAAAAAAAAAAAATCACCGAAACTCTGTCATGTTTCCTGGCCACTGCTCTAAGATCCTAACTTGGAATCCAAGGATCAGATCCACAGAACTATCTGTTTTATTCTCTCTATAAGGAATTAACATTTAAATTGCCTATATTGGATCTGGATCTTAGTACCACTTAGACATTTTTCAGTAATCATGTATAGTCTACCCATTAATGACAAATAAAATAAAAGAAAAGTTGTACAGGAAAGGATTGCAATTCTGATGTTAAACATAGACTGAAAAACAGTTTCTTTAAAAGCACCACTGAGTAATTGCAACATGCTGGCACCTTTCTCTTTTTACTTTTTTTTCCCCCAGAAACAGTATATGAAAAATGTAAAATGTCCTTTCTCATGACATGAGCTATATCAAGAGAGAAACTCCAGTGAGAAAGGCCACTAATGTTAATTTACATTTTGTAATGACTTTGGTACCACTGTGTCTGCCCTTTTTTGTGTTCACTTCCTACTAATTCTCTAATAAACCAAGCTGCTGACAGGAATGGCTGGGAAAGAATGATATGCCAGTCATTACTGCAGGATATTCATGGAGGGTGAAATTCGTTCTTTTGAAACGAGGCAGGACAAAAACACTTATATGCCATACCACCTATACGCTTCATAAGTCCAAGTGTGTGGGCTCAAATAGTACATTGGTTTGAGCACATTTTAAAAGAGGTGAATTTCACACTTAACTAATTTTTATGTCTGTTCAAGAGTTCAAGCCCAGTTACTAAAGATACATTCCCTGGCACTGGCCCAGATTTACATCTGACCTACCTGAGAAATTTGTTGAGATACTGCCTGCTGCATACAGACCAAGAAAACACTCCATTGTTTCCTGTGAGTGTGGGAGACATAATATTACCCTCAGCTTTTCTGCAAGGATTTCCTTCTCCATCATGAATCATACCAAAGCTGAAAAGAGAACCACGTGTGAGAGTGAAAATCTAGATTAAACAGAAGCAAGACACAGTTTGGGGCAGAAGAAACATTTTCTGTGTAACAGCTAGTTAATATGCATATGAAAACATATGCACCATACAAATGACTATAAGCATGAAACAAGTTTCAATGAATAGCATTCAAATTTATTGTCATCATACACTTGTCTGATGAGAAAATGCTAGTCAAGTTTCAAGAAAGACCCATATCGGTGATGCTCAGGAGCTCTGCAGATGAGCTAATGACAAGCCATTGGCACATAAATACCAGAGCTGCACACTGGGTCAGAAGTCTTACCATTTAACCACTTCTCTTTCCTGAAAGAGAAATGTTTTGTGGTGAGATGGACAGAAGCAGCGGGTCTACAAGTCAGTCACACTTGTACTTGCCTATAAATCTATCATCTTAAAACATCTTAAACATGCATGCAGTCTGAGTCCTTTCACTGTTTTATACTTACTCACTGTACAGGACATCTGTGAATTTCAATGTGTTTTGAACATAAAGTTCATAATCTGTTACTTCAGCATGGTAGTACATTGGCGACTTTACCAACGTAACCTGTGCACGTGCAGGGAATATCTAATTCACTGGACTCGATCCTCTACTGTTATAAATCATGGCAGGCTCATCAGAGTTACTGCATATGTTGCCACCAGCTGAGGCTCCAAACTTGCTAAAATATATGGCTCCTTCTATAAATGGACAAAAAAGCCCCAACTGAGCTAGTATTTTAGAATCCTTTATAAAAGACTAACTTTGTTCACATGCATTGCAGCCAAGGAATCCACAGTTTAGATACCCACTGACACAACGGGCTCTGAACTCCCGAAGGAAGTGTTAAGCTTTCAGGTAAAAACACAAACTACTTAAAGAAAACCCTAAGAATGTGTAATAACTGAAGCTACTCAGTGGATCACAGAGTGCGATCTATACAGTATACTGTATTTTCCTATTATGAAATCCTTAGGTTAATATATTCACAGTGGACATCAGCACCTCCATAGCTGTCAGGTTTTTTTCCTTCCAGGAATCTCTGTATCAGAGAGGCCAAGTTCTGTTGTCTTACATCACATGCTAGGTAGTCTCAGGAACATCAACATGAACAAATTATTATAAAGACATTTTTTATCTGGGGCAGATTTTTTCTGGGAGATAAGACGCATTTTACTAGACAGGAGTATGGAGCTATACCAAAGAAAGGCTGAATAATGAGAATCAAAGGCAGTGGTGAAAAATGAAAAAAAAAAAAATAAAAATTTCCAAGCATAATCTCTCAAAGCAAATAAGAAAATAAACAGGAAGGAAGGACATTAAGAGACTAAAGGGGATAATTCTTGAAAAATAAGCTATGGGCCTGATTCTCTCTTACTACTGATCAAAGGGTATTAAAAATGTACTGAGGTCAGTGAAATTGCATTAGTGTGACAGGAGGATCAAACAATATATATTTTACATATTTAGTCCCATTGAAAGCATTGGCACAATTCCCACAGGCTTCACTAGTAGCTGGATTATTCTTTAATTCCTTGTTTCCCTTCAGATGTACAGAAACCTGTGAAAGGGTCACTCATGTAGACATTAGGTCATAGTATATACTGTAGAGCATATTTGTACAATGAAAACTAAATAGTCCTGATTCAGTCATGCAGAATTGGAAGGATTCGTGCCTTGACCAAACAGCAGAATACAGTACCACTGCTTTTTCAAAGATATTCTGTGCAGTAATGCCCATGTTTTATCTGACCCTCGATTTCGGGCTTGTACCACATAGAGAAACTATGCTTCTATACTGTCAGTGGTTAGACAGACTCTCGCTGGAGCTATGTTAAAACTGAAAATCAAAACCATGCAAAAAGTTGTGAAAAAGTAACTCGAAATTATTTAGTCAAAAAAAAACCCAAACAAACAGGAGAGCAAAACCTCATCATCTTCTTTAGTTTTAATTCAACAGTTCAGAGAATAGCTGAAGCTCCATGGAAGATTAATAGTGATTTTGCTTGAGAGAGAGCAGGTTCTTAGCAAAATAACAGTCTTATTACCATAGAAATCAAATGGAAATCCAATGGACATAGATACAGAAAGGTAGAAACCTCCACAAAGGTTGGTTTTAGCCAAATCACTCCTTAAATAGTTAGAAAGAACAAAGAAGTACAGGTTGAATGGAATGAATGGCTCCTAAATCCTATGAAAGGATCCTTCTTCTCGGAAAGGGACCTCTAAGAGACTCAGAGAGATCACTTCTCCATACTGTAAGCTTCACTGTTCCTTCTCTTTTTGGAGCAACCACACTGATATTAGAAGCAATTTGTCTACCAGAGCATGGTAGCAGTGTGAGAAGCTTGTTGATTATTATTGTCAGCTTTTACTGTTCTGGTTATCACCTGGATTATATAAAATATCAAAAATGAAAATAAAAATAAAAGGAATGCACTCTGGGCACCTGACTCATCATTTCATGCTAAAGGACACACCTCTGAGTGAAGAGTCTTGACTCTGTCACTTACATATTTATTTATAGAAGGAGCACGTAAGAAAAATAACTTACTTGTGTCCAGATTCATGAGCAATGGTAAAAGCCAGTCCAAGGCCTGTATCTTCATTAATGGTGCAACTACGGTATTTGCTGCACATGCCACTGATAGGTGCAAACCCTGAAGGAAGGAAGCAGTAGAATAGCTTGTTCCTCTACAGAGTTCCAAATACATATATCATCTGCATTAGTCCTAATAAGTGAGTCTATTGTGGTGCATGAAGATGGCTGTCTACTTCACCAGGTTTATCATGGAAGAATTACAGCAGACTCTTATTTGACAATAAAGGGACTCCAGTATAACAAATATAAATCAAAACTAATCTCCTAAAATACACTCTACTTATAAAGATTATTCTTTCCTCACTGTCATGCCTTTACTGTTTCTAAGTTAGGGAGGAATCCCATTCAAAAAGGGCAAATAGTCACAAAAAGAAAAATAAATTAGAGTGTCTCAGAAATATGCTGAAAATCAAAATTGTTCCTTGAAGAGGTAACAATCCAAAAGGATGTCTTCAGATAGCTTATGTTGTGACGTTTTTCTGGGACAATGATACCAGTAGTAGTCTTTTTCTTCTAGGAACCTTAAAGAGAAATATGTAAAAATAATACTGTTCTTTCCTCTTCAAGAAGGCTAACATTATGAAAACATTTCTGTCTCTATGAATCAAGATGCTGCTGTTGACATTCACGAGTTTCTCAGCATGTGCTTTCATATCATACCTAAAGTATCGCAGGGCTCGTTTTTCCAAGAGCAGATATCAAAACCCGTGAGCAAGATGGCATGGTCATGGCGCTTTCCGTTCTTCCCAACCAGAGCAGATTGCCATTGACAAAAGCTGTTCAGTGACTGGTCTGCATGGTGGTTAATCAGTAATCCACCCTGTAGATATTTCACAGACATAGAAATAAGGTGCTTTTATTAGTACTTGAGAAAGGTGATGGAAAGAATAAGAGTTGGTTAGGAAAAAAGGGAATTGCTTTTTCATATTTGTTCTACATAAACTTATTCATTCTCACGTTAACTGTGTGTGATGACTGACTCAGTTGATGAGTGAATGCATTACAATTGTAAAATAAAACTGGAACTCTCTCCAGGCACAGACATTTTCAAAGTCAGTGGCTGGAATTACCGTGTACAAATATATTTGATTCCTGATAAAGCTGAACACTAAACCATTTTCAATCTTGTGATCAAAATGTTTGGAGATTTCTGTGGAAGAAAAGTATTCCCCAAGTAGATCAACCCATCACAAACTTATTTTCATCGAGAGAGACTTTGTCATCTTTTGTCTCAGTATCCTTGGCAAAAGAATAGGCTCCACTCCCACCTTTTGTTACATGTTATCTTCAGTTTGGGACTTTGACTCCTTTCCCCCTCTGATCATCATAGCCGTAAATCCCAGTTCAAAATCTTTTTATTTATTTAAATACTTCTTAAGTAGACTTCTCATTCCAGCCCTTTCTCTTCAAGAAAATGCTAGAAATTGTTAAGTTTTATCTTACTGGAAGCATTTCAATGTTTCTAAAGAACATTCATGTGAAAAGAAGATTTTAGTATCAAAAACTGAGAAGCAGTGAAATGCAGAAAGTGTGATTTTGGGAGTTTTTGAGATTTTTATCTTTTTCTCATTCTTTATGTCTTAAGAAATCTCTAATGAAAGTTTGTGTACATAACGTGGGAACATCCAAAGCTCCCTGTGAACAGTAGCAAATGAAGTACACTGCATAAAAATTCCGACAGAACTTACAGGCTCTTGTTCCAAAAGAAGAAGACTCACAACGATAATGTTTATATCACTTCCAATTGTTCCATCTTTAAACAGACTAGACACCTGCAATGATTATTGAAGAGGAAATATTGTCTACATGTATATTTTTGTTAATAGACTAAACATATGTATTGAGTAATTGAAGCATTGGGCTTCAATTTTCATTACAAATTAATACAGTTATATACCTTGTAGGATTAATACAAAAGAGCTTAACCCAGAAGAATTATGCCCCAAACCACTACACTTATTCAAAAAATTTGAAAACTCTCTTGATTTAATGGGTCTTGGTCTCCTGGATCAAGTGTAATGAAGTTCAAGTTTAGTAGTACAAAAGTAAAGAGCAAAGCCACAAAGGAAAACATATTTCTAGTTAAATTATATTATTTTTCTCAAAATAAATTTGTGCTTTCTCGAACAAATTTTTGTTTCAAGGAGAGACATCAGATAGAACAGACTAAGCTTCATGATAGTAAATGAAATGAAAGTTTCAACTTCAGAGTATCTGCCTTTTTTGTACTACACAAGAAGTATTTTAAAATTTAACATCTACAGTTATACCACATCTTACCATATTCATAACTGTTAAGATGTAAGTTGTTACATTTTCCTTGCCATGTTTCTCCAACATTTTTTTATCTGCCACAACAAGGGTTTCAACATTTAGACTTCCGTTCTTCTGAATTTTAGCAGATGATCTTTTGAACCTTGCAGAAGTCCCATATTCATCTGAGCGAATGTATGTCTCTTCTGTAGGTGGCTGAGGTGCATCTAAAAGGAAATAAAACTCAGTTTTGGAAAGGGTTCAGATCACCATGAACAGTTTCATCAGAAAATGAAGGATCACAGGTTTACAGCCTTAGATTATTTTTATGGTATGTGATTTAATACTTATGGCTAAATTCTTGTATATTTATTAAAAAAGACCTGATTCATTCCTTAGGGAAGGACAGCTACAGGGAGAGAAGGAAATGGGAGAACCACATTCGTATGCAATAAGCAGTTTAAAACAAGGAATTAATCTAATCAAATGGTAGCATCTGTGGCAAAAAAAATAAACACAGAATTTTTAACAAAATATCTACATTTTTCCCATCCTTTTGTTAACTTCCTGAGGGTCTGGCATGTGCTACTTACATAGTACTTGGTAAAAAAGTCCTTTCCACAACAGATGTCCACCATCAGTACAGAAAGCAGACACACACCACAAGTAAGATTCCTGCCAGCCTGCCATTGCGATTGACATTAGCCTTCAATGTGAATTTGCCACTTTCTGGGAACATATATATTTAGCATAGGGAAACATCAGGCAACAGCAAGGAGGGCTTGACAACAGGATTTGCGCATCCAGCCCACACACCCAATGCCAGGGTGCATTTTTTCCCTCTGTGCTCGTGTAGCATGATCAACGGCACGGTTAGAGAATGGTCTCTACTTCATTCTTTCAGAGAGCCAGAAAATGGGGAAAGAAATCTACATCATATAATGTTCCTGTTATTCATAGTTTCTTTTGCATACACCTATGCTGCCTTTGCAGCAAGAATTAACTTGAAGGCCACTTTAATGTACTATTAGTATAATAATAATATTTTTTTTGACACAGGATGTAACATGACACAAGTGTAGAAGCCTCAGGTAGTTAAAAAAATCCTGCCTGTGCCTCATCAGAAAGTTATTCCAAAAACAGAGCTAAAACAGATGCTACTTTCTTCCAGGCCAAACTGGGAAATCAAGAACACCAAAGAATGCACAACAGTGGTCTGCTTTCAAGAACTAAGACACTCTGAACTATATTTAACATTGCAAGTGACTGTGCTAGTAAGATTTTAAAACGTTATCACTCGTTATAAACAAGTCCTTTACAAGCTCGAAGAACTTTTCTCTTCTGGAAGCACATCAAGACAAGAAGACACGTCTCACCCAAGAGTGAAGCGTTCAGTTCACAGTACGTCAGTTTCCATGCACTATTTTGAAGGCAATACAACTTCAAGACATTTGACTCATAAATCCATGAGCTGTGGAGTTTTGCTCCTGAATTAACTTCATAGCTACTAATAAAACCTAAGCAGCAGCATTTCAAGCATGATTTACTAATTACAGTCCAGTCAATTTTCACAATCTAAAAACATTTAGACTGTGAAGAAGAGTTTGAAAGATGATTAACTGGCTTCTCTAATGCTTACAAATTGCCAGCATATGAAACTTAAAAGATGGCAAGCGGGACAAGCTACTTCTGTGACACTGAAAGTGGCAGCGTGCTCTTCCCTCTTACTGCTCAGCAAGCTTGGATTCATTCTTAGATTAGGATAAATTAACCTTGACTAGGCAGAGTTAATAGCAAATGACTGCCTTCTGTAAGACTGCATTCTCAATGCCTATGCTCATTCAAGCTGAAATTTTCTATTCCAGGTGACCAGACTGGATTTTGCTGAAAATTTCAAACTGATAGGACTCCAGATCTCAGAACAAGACCAGGAAAGCAATGTAAAAAATAAACAAACAAACAAAAACAAACAAACAGAAAAGAAAGGCAAAGAAAGGAGAAGAGAAGAGAAGAGAAGAGAAGAGAAGAGAAGAGAAGAGAAGAGAAGAGAAGAGAAGAGAAGAGAAGAGAAGAGAAGAGAAGAGAAGAGAAGAGAAGAGATCCCCAAGTACTTATAGAAGGGGTGTGATATGTTTTTCTTTACTCAAGTGATACATTTTCCTCCAATGTCCTATATTGGCCTCTACTCAATTAAACAATCACACATAATTTTATTTGTAGGACTGCATCTGTTTAGTGAACATGAGATAGACTTGTTCTATAGATTAACCAAGGCTGGGTATGGAAATAGGTGTTATTTTTTAGAATTTCTCCTTCCTTTCTCTCAGAAGGTTAAAGGTATGTACTGCATGAAGTGAAAGACTACAGGATGTGAAAAGAAAGAGTTTCATGATTAAGCTAATTAAATGCAATCTTGTTTAATTGGACTCTAACAATGCGTCTGACACCAAGTTCTTAAGCAATGATGGGCAAATCACTTATACTAAACTCATCACAGTTTGATGCTAATTGCATGTTTTTCATTTAGCATAAACCCAGCTTGAATATGAAGTTAAGAACTCATAGTTGTAACTGAAATAATTGAATATAGAGATACACAGATACAACTACATGAGCATATATTCTGATAAGTATTTTAAAGAAAAACTCAATTTATCGATTTGGTACCCAGAAGCAATGGTTATTTTTGACCTCTCCTGTGTCTGTGAGTCCCACTTATAAGACAGGAATAATGATATTGTCTTCTCACATCCCAGGAGGTTATGAAAATACACTGTTCAAAATGCACTCATTTATTACAGGGAAAAGCTCTGTGTAAAAGCTCAAGAGGCCATGAATAATTCTGAATTTGGACAAGCAGTCACAGGGGGCACAGTAAATAAGGCACAAGACCACAGTGGACAATGCAAATAAAATAAAACACTGTTGAGCAGATGAGCTAACTTAGCACCATTACCCTCTGCTCTGAAGCAGGCAGCAGGAAAACCAGACGAGAGAGAAAGGGAGTATGTAAGGAGGTAGCTTTGAACTGCATCAGAATGCAAGTGTTTATAGGTTCAATCACAGGCTTGTGCATCTGGCGTTCGAGGTTTAGCTTTCAAATCCAGGGAGAAGGATTTCTGAAGAAGCAGACAATTTTTAATAAGCAGTTTTCAGGCCTCAAAGAGCCCTCAGCCTCAGCTCCTCCTTTTCCGCTACCTCCTTTCTCATTCCATCCCTTCTATTTGTTTTTCTCTGTCTTCTTTATGTGTCTTTTGGAAAAGGAACCTACCTATTTTCTCAGAACTCAGGGAGGATGTTGGAAAAATATAACAGGACTGGGACAATGTTTTCAATACTGTGTGCAGCCCTGGAGACCCTCATTAAGAAACTCAGGTCAGAAGTAGATCAGCTTTCAAACGGAATCAACTGAATGCTGTAAGTATGGATATAAGGTCCAAGGGGGCTCTAAAACGTTCTGCAATTTGAGGGCCTAATGAAGGACTCAGGATAGACCTTGGCAGCATAATATATTCCAATATGTTTTTTAAGAGGTGACTCCAAAATCTTATTTAAACAATTTTCATGGGAGGTTCTTTTTGAAGACCTGTTGCTGAAAATTTCATTATCAAAAGGTGACTTCTGAAAGACATTCTCTGTCCTCTCAGAAATTAATGATTTGGAAGACTTTTTCTTCATCTTCAAGCCTAATTAGTTATATATCCGCAAACTTAACAGAGAGCAGTTCATGGACTTGGCATCAATCACTATTCAAAAGCAGCAATCTGAGAAAGAACTACTTACTGAAAATTATGTCAATGTCAAAAAAATCAGGCAAGGGATCTTTTAATCTAGGTAGAGAATAAGAAAACTAAACAGTGATTCTGATGGCTTAATAATACGGATGATGACACCAATTTTAAGGAATAATCAAGTTTCTCATATCTTTCACTTTGTAACTGTATTATTTAAAATTATTATGTCTCCACCACAAAGATGACTATGAACCACACCTCAGAATCACCATACAGTCTCTAAAAGCCACTATCTCAAACAAGGAGAGAAAGTTTCCTTACATACATTTCTTGCGACGTCCACAAAAATGTTGCTTTTGAAACCTTCCATGGTGGTAACCATTCGCTTGAGCATGATACTTGTGGGAAGTGTGAATTCTGTGATGACCAAAAGAGAAGTATTTGGGATTGGACTCTACTGTGTACCGGTGCACCTTCTCTTCTGCAGTTCGTTTATATAATACGTGAGGATGGTGTCCAGCAGGTGATGTGTAGTTGTGCTCCTGTGCTAGCTGCTGAGGTAATGGAGATATAAGGAACTCGATCTTCTGTGTCCTTATCAAACCTGACTAAAAAAAAACACCACCACAAATTAGAGGAAAGACTGTCAAGGTTCACAGCTGCAACATGCTAGGTCTTACAGTGACCTCCCTTCAAAGCCTAGACAGACTGAAATGTGCTCTTCTAAACTAGATTTATTCAAGATGTAACCTACATAGTCTGCCCAACTAAATTCTGCATTGCTTCACTTCGGCGATGACCAGGTTTCATATTTGGTAACACGCAGGACAAGAATGTTGTGGGACTGGCAGCATAGCACCCTCACACAGTACCATGAATAATGTCATATGCAATATCAATCCATTCTTCACAGTAGAGATCTGGCTTTATGTGTATTTGTGCACAGGATATACACTCACATAAAAAAAACGCTTTTGGAAAATGCATCTTCTAATAAATGCATACATCAGTAAAAAAGAAATAATATGTGAATGAAGATTCAGTTTTTTTCGGAACAAGGTATTACCAGATGGGAATCCTGGACTTAAGGTCACCTTAAGAAGAAATGTAAGCACATTATAGTACAGCAGCACAAAGTTGAAGCATCTGAACATTTTAGTACCATCATTCAGTAATCAACTCCCTGCAATTTAATCGTCAAAAAGGCAGATTAAAATTTATGCCCTCCTACAAGAGAAGACTGATCAGTGAAAGGAAGTATCTGATTGTTTTCCTCCTTGGATCCCTGAAAGACAGAAGTATGAGAAAACTACTCTGTATTTTTCACATAGTATCCATGCATGAAACTGCACATGTGATGAAGTGTTTCCAGGATCAGGGCCAGGGAAACGTGGGTGGCACTGAGGAAGTATTTCCATGCAGCTCATTAATCAGTTATGATTTTATTTCATTTCTTGGGTTTGTAGAACATGTTGTAATAAACACTCTTTTTTACCAAGTTGAAAATCAAGAAGTTGTTTCATCAGGTAATTCTATTACATTATATACGTAACACTAGATACAGATTTTCGGTTTGGATCAGTGAGGCTCTACCATGTGCCAACACCCTTCTGCCAAAATTGACATCCCACGAGGACTACATATCTCTTATGCTTCAGAAAAATATGTGCAGACAAACAAATGTCAATTGCTAACCATCTCGCCCGACATCTTAAGTCCTCCCAGATCATGATTCCACCTCCTTCCTCAAAAAGTATTCTTTGAAAATGCACATATTAGACATGTATCACCTCTTCCCTTCTGAAATGGATGCTTTTATTTAGCCTAACCTCCTAGGACCAGAATGCCAAGGGTATCAGAAGGAGAGTAGTTTGAATCCCTAATATAAGCATTGTATTTCTTAAGGATTTGTGGAATTTTCTGCACTTTCAGTACTGTTTCCCATGAGGAAAACTCAACAGAAAATGAAAAACATAAAGTTACATATGAAATCTTCACAGCTTTACCTGTTTACTAAGCTAATGCTAAAATTGACTTTAAGTCTATTCCAGTTGAAAATACTTATCAGAGATATACAGGTCCTCAACAGTCTATAGTCATACGCTATGTCCTTTTCATGGAAATTCACTTCTGCCTTTCCAAATCAAAGGTGTCTTTGCAGCACTCCTCAATATAAGCATCTTTTTCGGGGAGCTAATAATAGCACTCATAAAATCATACAGTGATCTTAATTTTGACAATAGAAGAGATTCCATGTTATGAACTGGGAGGGCCCAATTGCTTCCTGAGAAATAATATGAAAACAAACATAGATGATATTCTGATTAACAATTTGTCCCCTTTCCTTTCTTCAACATGAATTAATAACTACATATTTCAGCCTACATCTACTTATCATTCTACATGAAGGTTAAAATTGCCTCTGTCGATAAGAGACAGGCTTTAAATAATTGACAAGAATTTAACTTGCCTCCTCACTATAGGCAATAAGTTGGCATATTTCAAATGTCAGATCGCATTTGGTCATGACAGAGTACTTTCCTGTGGGGAAGAAGACTAATATTTTAATCCTTATGATGCATGTCATCACACAATTTAAAAGTGGTTCTGAAAGGCAATCTTTATCTACTAGAGTGCACTGATAGCTGGGCACTCCTAAATGATATTTTTTTTCAGCTGGAAAACACAACTGTAGTGAATCTGGTTTTTATTTCCCTGTTTTAAAGGTTTCCACATCTGAAATTATTCCTGTAGGATTCATTTTGTAAATGATTCAAACCATATGGAACAAAGGAGTTTCTACATTTTCCTGAAAGAACTGTCCCTGATGTACACCAAGTTTCAGCCCCAAATGTGATTTCTATATTTAACATTACAAGGGTGAATTGAGAATTCTGGTGCAGGAGAAAGGGCGAACTGAATTCTGGGTCCTGTACTGCATGAATATTGCTGCACCTTTACAAAGGCTGTAGCTGACTGAGTGCCTTACAAATGTATTCACATCATTTTCCAGCAGAAATTACCCTAAATCTCCAATAAGACTTCTTTCCTTTAGGTTTTACAGCAGACACGTCTTCCAAATTGAAAAATGTATGAATGAAAGATACCTTTTTTTTGATAACATCTAGTTGTATAAAATTGTCAAGAAGAAAGGGACAGTGCCACACAGCAGTCTGAACATTAAATCAATCACAGACCTTTTTCTATTTCTTCCAGGTACGGGATAGTTTCAAGAATTCATATTAAATTAATTTCTTTGGTAATTCCAAAGTAATGCTGAGAATGCTGACCTGGCTTCTGACAGAAGTCCTCTGGACTGCTGCAAAGGGGGAAATCGGGCAACAACTGCCAGATACTTTTCTTGCAGGTTCTTGAGTATTAGCCTTAGGTAAAGAAAAGCAGCCTATGGCTATGAAAATATGTCACCTGAGAAATGCCAGAGCACAGAGACAGGATACTAGCACAGAATCATCTTTTCTAATTCTACACTGCCAAGAAATTCCGGTTTGTTGAAGGCCAGATTTTGACTAGTCTCTACTCCTGGGCAGTGAAAGTGTAAAAAAAAAAAAAAGTGTTTCTGGGAATTTTTCTACAAATACATGAAACATCTCTGTGATCGTGAGTTAGATGCAATATGTTTATCCAGCTCAAATATTTCAGCAGATGAACAAATACTGTCAAAATCGTCATGGAAATTTATGCATTAGGTTTTCCTACTGCCAGCATAGCTGTAAGTATACATGTGATTTTCCTTGAATTAGAACTCACTGATACCTTTCCTTTAACTTTGATGGGTTTGGGACCCAACAAGGAGAGGGACAAATAGGTCAAAACCCCATTTTTTATTTCAGATTCTCTGCAATTATAACACCACGAGAGGAAGCAGGATGACAAAATCTAACATTTTTACTAAGTCTAGACAACACAGCATGAAAAAGACCCGGGACTCCTGTCTATTCCCTCTCTGTCCCACTGTGGCTATCGCTAATAATAGCAGTAATTGTGAGAATATGGTGGGAAGGAAAACCCAAGAGATTGATCAATTGGAATTTGCAATTCTCTTGTTCTTCTCTCACAACACATACTTGCTATCCTTCTGTTAGGGGTAGTCCATGCCATTGGAAAGTAAACGGAAAAACATACATTGATCTGTGTGGTCAGCAAAGAATTCTGAATCAATAAATTAGAGGAACTTGCAGTTTGTTTGCAGAAAAGTTGAGAAAAGACAAGAAGGCAACATTCCTCCCACTTGTTATTTGTTATGAAATGTTTGCTTAGCTCTGGGCTAAAGGAATTTTCAGATCCAATACGTCTTTGTGAAATTCCTCAGTATCAGGGTGTTATCACTAAGGTAAGGCACTTGTTCTGTTTTCCTGATGTGTTTCAAAAGGAGGAAGAATCTCCAAATGAAATTTGGACAAGGGAAATGATAATAAATATCTGCGTCAAGATTTTTTTTTTAATTGAAGTCAGATGACAAAATGAAAAATAAGGCAAATTTTTTAAACCACTGAAAGTTCATCTTAGCTACACAAAACCAGGTAAATCTTCCACTGATTTTAGACCCACATGGAGTGGTTTCGAGAGTCACACTTTAATATATCTATTTCTAACAGGTCTCCTTGGCCTCTTACTGGAACAGCACAAAGGCTGTTCCCATTTGTCTCTCCCTGTGTTTTCAGACTCTGAGTGAAGACTTTGGCATCTTACCAGCCCGTAAACCCAATTCATTTTGAGGTTTCAGCATCTCCAAAAACAGACTCTCTGTAAGAAACATAGCAGTGACAGTGAGTGAAGGATTTTCAGAACTTATATTTCTTGCCTATATTTTAACAAAGCTAAGTTCTGAGATAGTAGATAAACCCTTGCTCTAAACTAGAAGAGCCTCACAGCTGTGGGTCCTCTGTTTGCATACAAGGCATTTTCATTACATGCTAATTAAATTAAAGGCAACAGCTTGGCCACATGCATATTAAAGTTACAGGAGTTTCACAAACCAGATGCAAATAATGAGGTAATAAGCATATCAAAATGAAACAGAGAATTAAAACATATGAATAAATGAAGTGCATTGTCTCTGCTGAACATAACTACTTAATACTGACTGACACAAAATTAAATTACAGTTTGCACAAAGACAGGAGTATCTCGACTAAATAAAATGCTAAAAAGTTTGCATGTACTCTCTAAGGAATACTCTTATATCCAGAATGCTTTATTCAGTGTTATGAGTATTACATAAAATTAAGTGTTAAAAAACTACGAAGAACAGCTAAAACAATGGCCAAAGAAATCACTGAAGTCTGTACCATAAGATGGGTATGCATCTACTCAAGATGAAAAATCTCTCAAAAGGAAGAGTTAAATGTAGTTTCACACCCATTAAAATAGTTCCAAATACTCATGCAAAGTTTTAAAAGACTTGACCAAATGCCAACTGAAATTGGCATGAAGCTTTCCAAAGACTTCAGTGGACATTGATCCAAGACTTCTGTTATGTTATATCCCAACTGTCCAGCTCCTAAAAAACACAAGTCATTGATTCAAACAGATCTTAACGAGACTTAGAGCACGTAAAGTACAGAAACATAAAGTACAGTTTTTAATT